CAAGGCCACATTGGAAATAGCCAAGCATGGTGACACACACCTTTAATCCCAGAAAGCCAGCCTTTAATCCCAGGGAGTGGTGGTAGAACGCAGAAAGATATATAAGGCGTGAGGACCAGAAACTAGCAGCATTTGGCTGGTTAGGCATTTGGCTGGAGAAGCATTTGGCCTGGTTAAGCTTTCAGGCTATGGAGCAACACAGTACAGCTGAGATTCATTCTGGATGAGGATACAGAAGCTTCCAGTCTGAGGAAACAGGACCAGCTGAGGAACTGGCGAGGTGAGATAGCTGTGGCTTGTTCTGTCTCTCTGATCTACCAGCATTGGCCCCAATAACTGGCCTCGGGTTTGATTTTATTAATAAGAACTTTTAAGATTCATGCTACAGACAGGTACCAGACAGGATGGAGGATGCCTCATATGTCCTGCCTCTGGTCTATCCTGAGCTGCCACTCAGGAGCTCCAGAAAGGAACATGACTAGGCGTGGTCCCAGGACCACAGAGAATGCGGAGTGCTGGGGACTGGCCTTCCCAACAAGCTGGGTACCTGTGCCCAGCACTCCTACATGGCATTGAACTGGTGCCCTTCAGGAATCCAAGCTGCCATTTCCAACAGCTACTAATCTCCACGGCTCCACCTCCCTGACCAAAGACTGTCTTCACCTCCCTTTCTCCTGTCACAGTCCATCCTGCAACACGCTTTCTGCTGGCCTCCAGGGCTGTCTGTCCACTGGTGCTGTCCACAGGGTGGCCAGCACCCGTTCTCCTGAGTGGGTTGTGGAGACTCTGGTAGGAGCTGACCCTTCAGCAGGACCTGGAGACAAAGCTGGGCAGCCTGGGTGAGTGTGAATGGGCAAAGCATGAGCTGAGAGGCCTGTGACCCAGCACAGGGTGCCTGGCCCAGCAACTAGCTTCTGCCCGAACATCTGGCCCTCCCGGGGTCCCCTTCTACAAACCTCCCACGCTGCAGTGAAGGGAAACCCAAGAGAACCACACACACACAACCCTAGGCCTGCAGTTTGGGGAGAGGACGCCCACCCTGCCCTAGTACTGTGTTCCCAACATGCCCCACCCGATGCTCTCTTCCTAACAGGGCCTCAAGCTAGTGGGATTCACAAGGCCTGGGGGAGGGGCCTACCAGGCCAGACAAAGAGTCTAGGCCAAGGAGCAGCATGCTGCTGGCCCACAGTGGTTCAGTGTCTACATCTCCCCCAGGCACACAGTGGGCTCTTGTTCCCTGATAGCCCTTTCTCCTCCGCTGGCCTCAGTGCAGTGGGAAACCATGGCCCATGGAGAGAGAGGCTGACTGCCTGGGGTCACACACCATGAGTCACCCCAGAAACATAAGGAGCCGCCCAAAAAGGAACCAGAGTAAGTGGGAAGTGTCGGAAGGCAGGGCCGTGGCTGGAGGTGGGATGGAGTCAGGTCAGGCTGCAGAGCCTTGTCAGGGCTCCAAGCAGCTTGAGCGAGATTCCAGTCGAGGGTGAGGGCCAGGGTGGACCAGGGAGCTACCGAAGTGGCACACATCAGAATCCACTCTGACTGTCCGTGGACATGGTGTGAAGAGTGGGAGGGAGGTTGTCAAAGAGATAGGGGTCGATCCTGCTGTGGGACAACTGGGGACCCTTCGGGCTAGCCGTTCATCAGTACAGTTAGAGCCAGGAAGCCAGAAGGCAGGTAGCGCGGCATGAGCCAAAACTCCATACCCACACCATTGTCTCCAGCACTTACAAGCGTGAGCACGCCTGGACTTTCCCCTCGACTCTTTGAGACAGGGTCTCATGCAGCCCATGCTGGCCTCAGGCTCACTACGTAGTTAGAGGACTGCCTTGAACTGATGCTCCTGCCTCCGCCTCCTAAGTGCCGAGATTACAGATGTGCACCACCACACCTGGCAAGCCTCCATTTTCTCATCTGAAAGGGGGTGGTGAAAGTGCTTGGCACACAGTAGGTGCTCAATAAGCGGCAGCTGAATCAACAGCGGCCTGAGTGGGAAGAAGGCAGCCAAAGCTGAGGTACCGCCGGGTAAGAAGGTGTTACACACCTGTAATCCCAGCACTCCGCTCAGGAAGGAAGATGCTGAGTTTGAAGCCAGTCTAGGCTACCCCATGGAACCCTGTCTCAAACAAACAAAAAAACCAGAGAGCAAAGCTGCAGGTGGGAGAAGGACCTGGGGATGCGTCCTGCAAAGGTAGACTATAGGAAGGTACAGCCATAAGGCACAGACACCCAAGACGTCTGCCCAAGGCTGGTGTGAAACTGCATCCTCCTCGGTGTGGGCTACAGCTGCCTCACACTCTGGCACCCCCACTTGAAGCTGGTCTCTCTGATCTAATATCCGGCCTCAAACGGCCCCTGGGGGAGGGACTCACAGCTTTCTATAGCCTCTGTGCCAGCCCATCACCACATGCTACTGGGACTCCCCCGGCCTCTCTTTGTCCCATCTGGAAATGGCCTCACACTGAGTGTTGGCAGGGCCCGTTGTGAACCATTAGGAACTCTGCGACCTCCGCTCTGGCTCCTCCATTCTCACGTAAGAGAAACCTGTTTCAGCACGGGGCAGACAGGCCTCTGAAGTGTCCCTCCCTCATCTCCAGGACACACTAGATCTTGCCCCTCCCCTTCACCTGCCAGCATCTCTGAGAAGCAGACACACAGAGTGCAGCAGAACAAGGGATTCTCTGCTGCAGACAACCTGTGGGAAACTCCTAGGCCCTAGGGGAGCAGGAAGCCCTGGGACCCATGGGAACAAGGGATAGTGGAGCACATGGGAGGGAAGGGGCCATCCCCGGGGACAGCCACCAGCCATAGCTCAAAAGCACACACAGCCCAGGGGTCTCTGATGGCCAGCCAAAATCACTGATCCAGTTGGGGCTCAGAGTGGAAAGGGAACCTGTCCGAGCCACCCAGTCATAAAGGGGCTTGGAGTAAGAAGTTAGCTGTAAATTAGACCCTGGATTAGTGCCCACTAAGTCGGACACTTCTGGTCCCAATCTGCAGTCCAGCTGAGTCACTGAACGGAGCGGGGAGGCACAGAGCTCCCCAGAATTGCTCTGACTGACTCCCACCGTTCTACAACTCAGAAACCCCTCCCAGGAACCACAGGAAGCAGGACAAGACAGGAGAGGCTTTGGGAGGGTAAACTGAGTCTGCAACAACAGCTTCAGTCATCAAAAGCCAAGGACACCTGCCTCAGACCTGATCCTAACTAACCCTGTTGGCAGTATGGCAGGAGGAGTCACGTCCATTTTACAGATTAACTCAGAGAGGCCATTCCCTGCCTGAGGTCACAGGACCTCAAGGGAGTTCAGCACCTCGGCCAGGTCTGCCAGGGCACTGGGAGGGATCCAGCGGCTGCAGAGCATCTGGGGCTGAGGGAGGGTGCTGTGACTCTCTGGGTGACCCCGTTCTCAGGTGAGGGAGGAGGGAGTCACCCCTAAACACAACAAACTCAAAAAAAAAAAAAAAAAAGGTCAGAAGGCCAAGAATCCGATCCTGAAGCAGAGTATCCTAGGACAGTGAGGTGAGGGAGATACTCACATTCCGGAAAGGGGTACAGTGAGGAGCTTAGAGGGATGGGGCCAGGGTAATAGGAGGGAAGGGCTCTGACGGCCCTTTAAATGGAGACCTAGACCAGCTCCCCTAGGGAACCAAGGCTGGCTCCCCCAAGCAGACTTCCCAGAAGGGCTCCTGCAGAGGAGCTGGCCAGTCATGGAGGCTGCCTGGAGGTCTGTGGAGGGTGCCCGAACCTGTACCTTCAGTCTGGCCTACCCGACACACTTGCCCTCTTAGCGGATCTCTAAAGGACCCAGCTCGCCCAGAAGGACCCGGGTAGCAGAGAACTCAGCCTCTGGAACCTCTTAAGAACCAGCCAGCTGCTGAGTTCCCCAGCATCCTCCAGGCTTAAGGGCGGGGGCAAGGGGCTGAGGCTCGCCCCGTGGAGGTGGGGAGCACCTAGCTGGGACTGCCCCGGCTTCTAGCTGGTCTAAACCTGAAAAGCCAGTTTCATCCTAGAATCTTCTCCCTGCTTCAACAGGAAGTGGGGAGGGGGGGCTTTCCCAGGACAGAGCTGGGGGCCTCCAGATCCAGGCCCCGCCCACGCAGACAGACACACTACCCCAAGAGGCACACGGAGCAGGAACTCTGATCGGGACAAACTGAGCGGAAAGAAAGTCTAGGGGCAGTCCCCGGACCATTCTCCACCCAGCTCTACAAGCATGCTCCCAGCAGGACAGACAGGCCCTCTCGCCTATCCCTGGGCACCTAGGGTCCGCGGTCACCCCACCGCGCCCAGGCCTACTTCAGGAACCCGACTGTGGCCTCGGGCTCGCCCTCCGGGTCACTGCACAGGGCGGGAGCTGTCTATGGAGGCAGTTCCCGGGTTTGCTGATACGAACCGGGCTGAAACGGGCCGAGCAGGCCCAGCCGAGCTCCGCAGCCCGCAGCTGCTGCTGTTACTCCTGTGAGCCGGGAGGACGCGGACCCGGTGGCCCGAAGTCGCGCGCTCCGCGCAGAGTTTCAGATGCCACCCTTGGGGGGTAGGGGGCAAGGAGGGCATGGGGGAGGGGCTGGCAGCCGAGGCGCCGCTCCGGGCCGCTGCGGCCCGAGGACCTCCGGCCCCGGGGACCCGGTGGGGCCGGTGCCCGGCTTGCCCCGCCCGCCAGGCTGCGCCGATCCGACCATGGGCTATTTCTGTGGGGCGCCGGGCTGGAATCCGGGCCGCGCCGCCTCCGCTCGGGAAAAACTCCGCGCACCGCCTGGCAGCGATCGGCGGACACTTGCGCCAGAACGCAAGCCCCGCACCGGCCCGCCCCGAGCCCCACGCCAAGACCCCGGCCG